GCATTTCCTCGGGACTAGTGCATCTAATTTACGTTCGATTTTAATTGTTTGCTAAAATCCACATTTCTTTGCGAATTGACTCACTGATACTTATGATCCATCGATATCCCGTCGTTAAACGTTGATAAATAGAAGGAAGGAAGAGAGGCTGAAACGCCAGGTTCAAGAATTCTTACATATCATATCCGTTGTCTTTATGGATTAATCTTACCAAAATCCAATGTTTTCACATCATACTGATCCTGATCTTGATCCGCTTCGAGGTCTGATCATTATTTACTACTCAGTTGTATACGCTTCTATCGGAAGCAAAGATACTTTACTGTGGATGAGATGGTTCGACGTTCATATTGATAACTTTTAGACTCCGTAACTTGTACATTAATAAAACACCCTACAGTGAAATCTAACCTTTCAGGGCTTTCAAGCTTTTTCACAGTTCGTTAAGAATTGGCCCAGGTTGTTTGAGAAATTGTGAACCTCTTCCATACTGGTTATATTTTACTTAAATTCTAGCATCGCTTGTGGAGCAAATAAACGATCTTGAGCTCTGTCGGAGAGACTACGCAGATATATTAACGGCTTATGTTGCACATGACTTATGACCGGAGGAATTAAAAATTTGTGACAAAATCAAAAAATTAAATATCTTTGACAAGAGAATCACCTTTCTCTTGGATCCACTGGACCGGCCGCAATATGTTCACCATTCCTCGTGGTTTAGAGTCTTCTCTCTTCGGGAACGACCTTCTTGGTTCCTGACATAATCTTGCCACCATCTTGGTTTGCGACCAAACAACCTAGTCCACCTGCGAGGGTACTAGTCATTGCCGACCATATCCCGTCGATGAGCCGAGTTACATGCTCGGTCCACAGCAGCTTCTCCTTTCTGCCGTCGAGATATCCATTCACTCCCGTCCGCTCTCTGAACGCCGTTGTGGAAACGTGATATCGCCAAGTAATATCTTCAACATTCTTCTTTCCATAGCTCTGTCAGTGACAGATAGCTGGCTTTCATTGGGTTTCGTGAGTGACCACGTCTCAGAGCCATGCAGCATCGACGGCACAATTTAAAAGGTGGACACAGGTATCTTTCCTGATGTTGCCGAGGAGGACGTCCTTGATGGAATGGGACGCGCACCAACCAATGATTGTGATGCACATTGATCCCTTGGCCCAGGTAAATGTATCTATCGATTTCTTCGATCTTCTCGCCGTTTAATGTTACATGGGCCTTCGACAGGGCATCCGATCGCAGTGCTTTTGTCTGTGACCAATTAATTCGTAGTCTGACTCCTGTACTGTTTCTTTCAAGCTTTGTAGCATATTTTGTAGCTGACTGACGTCTTCTGCAAAGAACACACGTCATCAGCGAACTTTAGATAGATGAAATATTCGCCGTTGATAGTAATCCAACCCTTCCAGCTCATCGTTCGGGCTCCATTTCGAAACAAGCAGTAAAACGTTTGAAGTGGATGGTGTCCCGTTGTTTCACGTCTTTCTACTTAAATCCAGAAAGGGGCGTCGAACGTGATTTGAAGCAGCCAGAGTTCGCTTCCATTAGTAGATTGATGTTTTTGACGTATTTGATTGATTGACGTATTTGCTCTTTTCTGTCATTGCAGATCGTACTGTGTTGTACTCGACATTGTCGAACACTTCCTCATGGTCGACGAAAGCCATGCGTGGAGGGCAGATGGGTATTCTCTTGCGTTTGAGGACTTGATTTAAAGTAAAGATGCTATCCGTTGTGCTGTAGCTAGCTCCTTCAGAATTTTGCCTGTTTTTTATACTGCTATGCGTCTAGACTTGTTGGCAGTCCACTGATAATGATTTTAGTGAACAGTTAATAAACTTCAGAGCAGGCGCATATGATGATAGTTTTTCCAACCTTCCTTCTAGCCCTTCCAGAACAACACGATCGTTTTTGACTCTTTCCAGCTTGATGGTATCTTTTGCGTTTCAGGTAACAACTGAAACTGAACCACTCCGCTGAAGCAGTCCACGCCGTCTGACCACCTGCTTTTATCATTTCAGTAGTCAGGCCATCTCTCCATGCCGTTCTTCTATTCTTCATTTGCTGTGCGGCATGCGGAATTACGCTTATGAGAACCAGATGTGCACTTCCTTCTGGCTGTTGGAGTGATGGTAGACGTACGAATGTCTTTGACGTAAAGAGTTGGGTGTAAAAGTACATAAAGACAGTCTGTATCTCAGTTCTGTCAGACGTTCCTGCGACATGTCTGTTCTTAAACGCCATGATGATCGTCTGATTCAGCTCTAACACTCTCCTGAATTGTACGAGGCTTCTATGGTCCTCGGCTGTTTTCTCTCATTTTCCTAACCAGGAAGTCTGGAAGTCTTCCTTCAGCTTCTATCTAATGAGCTTGCAGAGAAGAGAGTACTCCACCACTATGCCCCATCTCTCTTCATCCTCGTCTACTTCTATAAAAAGTTAGTGGTATTATGTGATATCCTTCCTTTCACTCCTTTTGATGTTACCACTTTTGGATGACCTTACTCAGCGAACTTCTCGCAGTCGTTGACTGTCATTTGTCATCTGCTGTGACTTCTTCCCGATCTTCACTAAATTTAGCTTAATCGCATCAGCCCAGTCTGTAGTCACTGTCGATGTTAAATGATGCCAATACTGCTGCCTAGGATGTTGCGGCGGTTATTGAACAGGGCGACGTCGATCTCGCTCTCCGTCACCGTGTTGGGCGCGATCGATGCGCATTTTTTGTTGGTCTTTTCTTTGAACCGACTGTTGTCAATGTACAGGTGTTTCGTTTCTGCCATCGTCACTAGCCGATCTTCTGGCTCATTTTGCTCTACAGTACCACCGAACTTTTCACCGGCCCTTTCTCCTCCAACATTGGCACTGAAGTCTCCCATAATGAGGGTTTCCGTGGACTCTGGAACCAATGGCCGTTC